AACCGAATTAATTGAAATATAATATAATCCAAATATAAAATGAAAAATATATGAAATGGATCACTTAATTTCATAACTTGTTAGAATTTTTAACATAATACTTTAGTATTTGAATATTTTATTGAATAATTTTTTTAGTTTATTTAAAATATGAGAAATTAAAAGTTTAAACTATAATTTAACTTAAATACATTTCTTATTTGGTTAAACAAAAAAATTAACCGAATCGATAAAATTAAATTCGATCGATTAGTTTTTGAAATTCATAGATTCGATTTAGTTAACGAAAATAAAATAATGTAATTCGGCTAATTCAGTTTTGAATAATTCGATTGAAAATTAATCGAATCGACCGAATGAATACTCCTATTGACTTAAGTATTGGAGTACAAACGATGGAAACACTTTTAGCTTTGATGATTGACCGATCTCTTTCTCTTGTGCTTTCAGGTTTTTATCCCTCAAAGACCGCTCAAAACCAAGTTTGGGAAGCAATATTTGGGAAGAAAACCTCTCAGATAACATTTTAAGTCTCTTTTTTTTCTTCTGTTAGGCTCATAACATCTGTAAGTCTCTCTGCCCTGCTCCTTTTTCTTGATTTCCTGTTATTTATTTGCCATTTATGTGGGACAATATGGAAAATTTCTAGATTTTATGAATGGACGTTACCTCTGCTTTTCTACACAACTTCTAATATTTGTATTTTGGCACCGTTAAATGTGTTTGTGGTATGTTTGTCAACTGTTTTCACTGCATATTTGATCTAAGCAATTAGCAATGGTGTCATTTTTCATTTTTGACGAGCTCTTACTAGTTACTACTGTCTAAAATTGCTGGCCTGTTGTGTCACAATCCATCTGCCTCGTAGCACTTACCATTAAGAAGCAAGACGCAACCATCGCCAGCTGAATGCATGCTTTAATCAAGAAGGTCGTCAATCGCCATCCAAGCCCTTGTTGGAGGATCGGAATTTGACAGCCTTCAAAGATGAATGAGATACAGAAGTCGGCTACCCACAGAAATGATTGAATATATACTTCCCGGTATGTCCTGCGCTGGTTGTGCAAATATAGGACGTGATGAGGCATTGTTTAATTAGAAGAAAGTTTTTAAGTGAAGAAGATACGTCTCCTCTTGCAGAACAACTCACCAGTAGAATTCTCAGTGTCCTATAAGATCTTTGTGATTTGGTCGGTCTTTTTTATTTCCTCGTAATAGAAAGATTTTCAAACCTAGGCCGGAGGGATTACAACCAACTTTCTGTGGATGTTCCCTGTTTCGGTTGTCCCCTTAATAAGCTGATCATTAAATTGATACACACAGAAATATAGAATTGTCATGTCGACATTGAAGAAACCAAGCCACGTAAAATAGGCAAGAGCATCTAAACGTTGTTCCCACGAGATAAAAACATACATTTTTTTTTGCAGGACAGGAAGCGTGCTGCACATGGCTATTTTGAACGAATCGTTTAATCAATTGTTAAGGTACTATAAAATTCTTTGTATACAAAGAGATTTGGGCAAACTGTAGATTTATAAACCTCTTTTATTAGAGGAAAAAGAAATGCAAACAGGTTTCGCCTGAGTTAAGGAGCCAATTCAGGAGCAATTTGTCACCGGATAAGGTCAAGAGGGTCAGATCGTAGATGGGACAAACGATTGTCGATTTTCTATCTGCAAGTTGAGCAGTAGATTATAAAGAAAGACGACGACCTTGGTGCGTGCAACCATACATAAATTAAGAAGAGTCTTTAAACACAACTGGAATTTGCCTATTAAATATATAAACAAATTGGTCCTGTTTGTGAGCCTAACCAAATTTTTTTGGGCTTAAATTTGTAGGAAATAAGCCTTTAAAATCCGTCTAAAGGTACAAATAGGACTACTTTAAAGGTTGGGTGGGTTTGGCAGTTTGGTTTAACGAATTAATTTATGTTTTGTTATTAATTTATTATTAAAATATCATGCTTGTTGCTTTAACTTAGAGCTTATGGGTTCAAACAGATATATATATATATATGTTAATTTTAAATATAATCCGATAATATGATAATAATATAATTAAAATTTTAATAAAAGTTGATATGATTTTAATTAAAATAAAATATATTTTATATTTGAGATATTGATATAAATTATAAAATAATAATTTTATATTTTATATTTTATATATATATATATGTTTCATTCAAAATAAAATAAAGGGTAGACACCTTGTTGGCAAACAATTAATATTCTTTAGCAAAGATGAAACGAAACTCCCAAAAAGTCAAATCTTTGCTAGAATTGGAGTATTTGGGGAACATTTGCATGTTATTTTTAGTCCAATATAAAGAAAGTGACTGAACCTTTGAGCTTCATTGCTATGTAAAGCGATTCATACCTCTCATTTTTCACGTCAAGACTATTAAAAGAAAAAAAAAAAAAAAAAAACCCACTGCAGAATTCGTTTCTTTTAGCCGTTTCTGTTTGAGAGACCTCGAGGAAAGTGCTGAATGCTAATATAGCCAGAAAAAGGAAAAAAAATTATTTCTATAATGTGTTGTAACTTGCGTTTAAGCACGTTAGCCCTTATTTTCTGCATTTATGTATGCATCCCATACCTTCAGTTCAAGAGAGCTCTTCTCAGTATGCTTGGCTTTGTCTTTCCATGGTATCGAGCAGAGGAAAACTGCTGCCAGGTGATGAATGTTTGCCTCCCGGTGGCAAGGTTTGAAGATTTGAAACTTTGTAACGGCGGCAGAGGAAATAGTAGTAATGGAGAGGTAGAGGAAGTGTGCTCAATTTGCTTAGTGGAGTTGGAGAAGGAAGATGTTGTGAGCCAACTCCAGAAATGCGGACATGTCTTCCATATGAAGTGCATTGAGAAATGGCTAGACCGTGATCAGTTCACCTGCCCACTTTGCAGGTCTTTCTTGTTTGCTAATATAAATTCTTCTCATGCAAAAAATGGAACCAATAGTTCCTGGCTTTCATTTTAAGTTTCTTTTTTTTTTTTCTTTTTTCACATCAAAGTTCAGAGTAGATATGTACATTTCAAACACCACGCACACTCAAAATCATTTATCGAAATAGCTGTAATCCTTTTCGTTTTTTTATTGCCTTTTTGATTTATACGAGCCATTACTACAAATTGAAAGAGTTACTACTAGAGTTTGGAAAAGTTTAATTATGGCAAAGATAATGTGTTATGATGATAACTTTAAAGAATGCTAAACATCAAAGTCAACGGAGGGAAATATTCGATATGTAATAATACTAAGAATTATGCTGCAAAATCTAGCTAGAGTTAATTAGGAGGCGATAATCAAAATAAATGAAACATGGAGGATGCAGTATCATTCTTTGGTATTGAAAATGGTGCATTGATATATAATTTTTAAGATTTAATTCAATTAATTTATATAATTATTAATATTTAATAAATTTAAATTTCAAATTCCAACGTATATAACTTTTTTTTATCTTTAAACTATCATTTTACAAAATAATAATAATAATAATAATAATAATAATAATACACATAGAAATATGTCAATTTGATGAATCTATCATCCATCCAAGTCAAGTCAAGTCAAACCAAGCCAAGCCTCATCTCCACCTGCTTTTGCTTCAAGAATTAATTTACATTTCCAAATTCCAATTCATTATCAAAGATCGGAAGTTTTCATCAGGAAATTAGGAAATTCGCGCCAATGATGGTATTTAATTCTTGATTGAAATTAAGTCAGTCCAATGCCAAAAGCGGGGGAGGGGACGATGGCTTAAAAAAATTGAAAGGAATGTGAATGAAGCTGAGCACAAAGAATAGGACTTAGATTTTTCCTTTTTTTTTCTTTTTTTTTTCCTGTACAAAGAGATATGAAATTAATTAGATAATAATAATTTAGAGTGTATTGATGGTTGCCCTCAAAACAATATATTGTCCCTTGTGCAACAAAATGGTTCATGTTGACCTGGAACTGTTTGATGGAGCTGGGGACTTGGGAGTGTGTTTTTTCCATGCTGCTAAATGATAATTAATAATCAGACCAAAAATTATAAATAATGAAAGGGAAAGTTAAAAAATACTATATTTATCTAATCTAAATTGGACTTTGATTTCTAATGTTTATATTTCTTCTCTCTCGTATCTATATATAATAAAAGGAGACGACATCATAAATTTCCCAAATTATTCTTAATGAATTTAATTGATTTTAAAGATGTTTTCGATAACGAAACTCTTGCAGCGGAACTCAAACGCACATTCTAGTTTGTATTAAAAATGTATTTATGGTACATATAAAATAACGATGAGATTATTATTATAATTATTTAAAAATTAAATGTGGGAGTTTCAAAAAATAAAATGTGGCAATTAGATATAATCTCATGCCGATCGATGTTATTATTTGTATCTTAATTAAGGGTGTAAATGATACATTAATATTCGTAAATCATTCGGATTTGATTTGAAGAAAACTTAAATTCGGTTCGATTATTATCGAGTCGAGTTCGAGTAACTCGATTTATCGATCGAATCGAATTCAAGTATTCTTATATCCGGTTCGAGTAGCTCGCAAGCCTAATCGAACTTTTATATTTAAATATATTTTTATTATTTTAATTAATAAAATATTTTGAGTCCGATTTTCGAGTATAAATAATCGAACTCTTATCGAATATACGAATCGAGTTTAATTTTTCATATTAATCAAACTTAATCGAACGAGTTCGAGTAGCTCGAATTCGATCACGAATCAAGCTTGAACTTGAAAAATAAAATTCGATCGAATTTGAATTGAGTATCGAGTCGAGCTCGAGCTTGAACTTCTCACTGTATCAACTCGACTCAACTCGATTATACCAATAATCCTAACAAAAAGGGAAATACAAGGAAAATGTGTTTCTTTTTTTTTTTTTTAGTGAAATAGGATTACTTTCAGCCTTTTGTTAGGTTTTTATATCTCCATCAACCCCTCCCCCCCCCCCCCCCCCAAAAAAAATTCCATGATCCTTGGTGCATGTGCATGGCATGTGAGTATTTCTATTTATCAGAACGAAAACCCTCTTTTATCCTTTCTTACTGTGAAAAATCGGGCTACCGTTGCTTCTCGTCTTGGGTTGGGTCATGATCTATGCCCAAAAGTACCAACCCGCTTCGGATTAAATTGTTCAAATAACTATAAAATAGCAGCAACGGCAGGAATCCGAATCGGCATACTGGTTTCTGAGCTTTAGGACAGCGCAGATTTTCATCTTGACTTCCCGTCCGGCCAAGATCAACGATGGTAACTAACTTGCCTTTCCTTATTTTGGTCGTGCATTATAATTACTTGGTGAATTAATTATAATCGTATTTCGTCCTCATTTTCTTATGCTAAGCATGAATCTGCATTTCCTGCTTCTTGGCGCTGTTCAGATTCATGATTCGTACTATCATGAATGATTTTGTAATCTTAAAATTCACCTTCATTTCCCTAGTTGATTGGATCTAAGCCTGGCGCCTTCCCGTCTCTGTTTCGATCTACGACTTGGTTCAACTGTTTGTTTTTTGGTCGGTTGTTTATCTATTTCTATAGTTCTCTGTAATTGCTTCCTTTTGATAATTCTTCTGATTTGTCATTAGATCCACCATATTTCTTTATTTCAGCTTATTTATTTTAAATTTTCTGTTTTCTAATCATATCCGATCATACTTGAACATTAGTTTAATGGTTACTTTGGAATGTTCAAGCTTGACTACTTAGTTGTTAGTTTTAGTGATTTCTATGAAAAATTTTCTGTTTGCAATTGTTATAATGATTTCCATGATGCATTAACTTGTTATGCACATTGAAGATATCAATATGCTCTTCTTTTTCTAGTAATAATGGAGATAAAGTTATTGTTGATGTAAAGGAAATCTGGTGATGCATACATTGATTATCAAACAAATTGGCCATGAAGACACAGGCTAAGAGGATGACCAAAGCTGCATGCCACCTGTTCTAATTCTGTCTAGGAACTAGAAATTCATATAGGTTACCATAGGTGCGGGAGTTTAGGGCTTCTTGAATATTCACTAGGACTAGAGAGCTTTTATGTTAATGTTGCAAAAGTTACACGTTATATAGGGTGACTGTTGGTTCCTCTCATAGTGCTAGAAAAAAGTGAATGTGTATTCATTTTGGGATTTGATTATGACAGTTATATGTATATTCTTCTAGTATTAGTCCATTATGATTGTTTAATTTAACTTTAGAAACTTAAAATCAAGCTTCATTTTTCAGTTGTTATATTGCTTCTATTTGTAATCTATGAGCCTTTTGTGTTACAGATTCACTTTGTACTTCTAATTAGTCGTCAAGGTAAAGTTAGGTTGATAAAATGGTATTCTCCTTATTCTCAGAAGGAAAGAACGAAGGTATGAGTAGCACATTTGATCAACTTCATTGATTATTTATGCAAAGTTTGTATCTTAAGGATAAAGTCATAAGATTCTGGTGCATTTTTCTTTTTCAGTTCTTTGTCTTTAGTAGTTTGTTGATGCTTTTTTGAAGCTGTTATTGCCTACATGGTATTAATGCTTTGTGACAATGCATGTTGAGAAGGTTATCCGCGAGCTCAGTGGAGTGATTCTCACAAGAGGGCCCAAACTCTGTAATTTTGTGGAATGGAGAGGATTTAAAGTTGTTTATAAAAGGTAATGCTACAATATGCCAGTGAGACTTCTTTTACTATGAATCTATTTGACCATTTAAGATATTACTAACTAATTTGGGATAAATTATGCAGATATGCTAGTCTTTACTTCTGCATGTGCATTGACCAGGATGACAACGAATTAGAGATTCTAGAAATTATTCATCACTATGTTGAGATTCTTGACCGATACTTTGGCAGTGTGAGTGAACTTAAACTTGACTTTTTGTGGGAGTATTAATAGCACACTATATTTCATCTGATTGTGAATTAATTTATATCCAGGTCTGTGAATTGGACTTGATCTTCAACTTTCATAAGGTATGTTTATTATGCTTGTCATGTACCTGTGGTTAGGAGTAGAAAGATTTTTTTTTTACAGCAATTTACATACAACCCCTTGAGTTTATGTTAAAATTGTGATCTCATTTGTGTAATCTTTAGCACCTACCCTCCCACTCCTTTTTTCTTCTCATCATAACATACCCATCCGTATCATCCTTTCCTTTCATTTATATTTCTTTAAATCATAAACTTTAAACATTCCACTCCATACTTGCTCCCATATCAGAGTATCTCTTGATGTTCTCCATATCAAGTATCCTTAAGAAGCACCTAATTTGCATCTGTCTGAATCGAGTGTGAGTGGTTAAAGTGCATATTCTTCCAGTATGGCACCATGAATTTTCTTCCACTTTTCTAATTAATCCCAAAAAAGAGCTGGTGGCATGTTAACCTTGTGGTTGAGGAATGGAATTATGTATTTGATATTTTTATTGGTTGGCTGCTTCTGTGGAGAATTGCAGAGTCAGACATCTCTGAGAAAAGGCTTCTTTTTTTTTATTTCTTCATTTTCTTAATAAATGTTATACTTTTGGTTTTGTCATCTGATCATGATGTGTGAAAATTATTGGTATCCAAATAATTTCATCCATTTTAGAGGAAAATTTTGGTTTCTGACAACAGGAGGCACATGTGTAATTTTGATATAGACTTGAGGGTTTTGTTTATGTAGTTTACCCTATTTCTTATATATGATTTATCTTATGAATGGTCGATCCAAATATGCTCAGTAGGTAAATAGCATTCATGTTAAGGATTATAGATCTTGGATGTTAAAGTACGGTCTTTGCTTAACTCTTTGCTGCTGTTTAACATTGAAGGCCTACTATATATTGGATGAAATCTTGATTGCTGGTGAACTTCAAGAGTCCAGCAAGAAAACGGTTGCACTTTTAATAGCTGCACAGGTAGAATCTTTTTTCACTTTTAAAATGTCTTGGCTTGTCATAACTTCCAATTTTCTGAGTGAATTGTTTTGTTGAGTTATAGGATTCACTAGTGGAGACTGCAAAAGAGCAAGCCGGTTCCATTAGCAATATAATTGCACAGGCCACGAAGTAGGTTATGAGGTGTGATTGCTGTTTGTCTTCACTGATTTTGGAATATCACTGATTTTGAGAACCATGAATTTAGATCTGAGAGATTCTGTAGATTGGGGTGATTTAAAAAAAAAAAAGAGCTAGAAGGGTGTTGAATGCAATTCACATCGACAAGATATCTTTTTCATTAATCAATATCTCATATAACACTTTTTATTTAGAACATGACCCAGGGGATGGAGTCAAACTCATGCCTGCAGATTTACTATAAATTGTTACACCATGGGGCTCCAAGTAACATCAAGACAGGGCATCAGCCCTTCACCTCAACAGCTTGAGTGAAGTGTTTTCTACCAACTTGGTTGTCCCTCTTTCAACCCAGCCAAAATAGTGTTTATATGCTAGTAAGGACCATTTAATTGCTCTTTAATAATCAACTAATATGCTGCCACCAAGCTAGCTTCATCTCGAGCAGCTCTCGTTTTGTTGATGCAGTGCAATGTCCCATTTCAAGAGTTTACCTGGAGTTTAGCTGCTTAGTCAATGAACCATGAATATTCAGACTATATGTAATCTATGCTTCATCCTGTCTGTAAAATATTGCTAGCAAAATGAGGTATATCTACAATGAAAATTTGTTACCTTTAGAAAATATCCATGTCAATAGAACTAACGAGCACTCCATCATCTTCCCAATTTACGTCTTTGGTGTGAATGTCTTTCCCCGTTAATTTAAGAGGCACTTCTAATGGTGGTGGGCTCTGCAAAGTAAAACAGCAATCAGTATAACCTAACAGAAGTAGCAACGAAGTAGCTTCCAAGAATTAAAGACAAGAATATCTTCTGCCCGGCAGAACGATTGGAAATTGTATTACCATGCAGCGGATCAGAGGCCAATTGATGCTGCGGAAGAAAGGGTGTTGTTTGATTTCATTGGCACCAGTACTCGACCCAAAACGGCTGGCAGGGTCTCTGATCAACAATGCATTAATCAACTGCCTAGCTGCAAGACTAACCTGCATGACCAAGTATTTCAGTTCAGCAGCTGCAAGTAAAAATGACTACATGATGACACTAGCCGGTTCTTGTATATCAGCAGTTCACCTGATGCATCTAAAAATAATAAAAACCAATAGGGAATTTAAATACTTAAATTGCATGCAGTATTGTTCATGCTGGGCAGTTATGTTGGGTCATCTTCTGAAATAAAGCGTGGTTGATGGGTTAGAAATATACCGGAATGCCACTTGGGAAGGTTAGATCTTTGTGCAAGATGTTGGAGAATGTCTTCTGCCTGTTTTTACCCCTGAAAGGCGTACGGCCATACAGCATCTCATATAGCAAAATACCTATATTACACATATAAATCCATGTATGTCATGTTTTAAAGAATATTAACAAGGCTCGATATAGAATCAGTGAAGAAGGAATTGCACAGATAAATGCAATTGCAGATTAAGAAAAAAGTGAAGAATAATATGTCTTCACCATCTACTTACCAAAAGCCCACCAATCAATTGCACTACTGTGTCCTGAACCCGTAATAATTTCCTGAAACCAAGTATAAGCATCTAATCTTTGCATCTATAATGAATTGAGTTGAATATACGAACATTAAGCATGAATAGAGAGTCATTGTACCGGAGCAATGTATTCTTCAGTTCCAACAAATGAATTTGACTGTGTCTTCGGTTCTGCAACAAATGTTGGAGGTGGTTGACTCCTAGATCTCCTTCTCTTGTTAGGCAAGGGATGCTTTAAAACCTGTAAATCATTATAAACTTTAATCTCATGCAAAACTCTCATTAGTTATCAGACAAACCATCTAATCAAATATCAAGTAAAGACAACAAAATTCACATACTTGGGGTTTACAGGAAGTCATAAATGATAAATCAAAGTCGGTTAATACAACGTGCCCATCCTTCTGGAGTAGAATATTTTCTGGCTTCAGGTCTCGATATATTATTCCTGTCGTAAACCATAAAGAATGAAAGCATTGTGAGAAAAAAAGCAGAATATACCTTTCTTGCAACTTTTTTTCTGATTAGATCTCATAAATCATTCAAGCTTGCTGCACCATATTGCATTGAATATTGACAAATGTATCTGTTCTGAGTTTATCAGGATACCTAGACAATGAAGATATTCCAAACCAATGACAACCTCTGCTGCATAGAACCTGGAAAAGCAAAATAATAATGCAGTAGTAAGAACTGAACTCACAAGAAATGTCCAGATATCCTGATAATTCAAACATATCAGTAATTCAGTCATAAAATGAACAAAAAAATACACTTGGAAACTTCTAGGAGTCAAATCTGTTTTGCCAAAACATAGTTCAATGATTAAAAAAAAACCCTGACCCAGATCTCAGAATAATGAAAAGTGATAAAATTCTATAGCCATGTCATCCAAACGCATTCCACAATACTCATTTTTAAGTGCTAATTAAATCCCATAACCACAGGATTAGGTTTTTTAACTAGAAAGTATGTAATTTCTGTTTATTGTAATTATTAGGCAAGCAATAGGTGTACCTTGCAGATTCTTCTTTGAAAAATTTCATAGGCTGCTTATCAAGCAGGGCAAATAACTCTCCACCAGGGCAAAAGTCTGTTATCAAACAAACATGTGTGGGAGTCTGAGGAGATAAGAAAACATTAGTACACTTCAATTTATTTATTAAATTAACTCAAAAGTTCCAAACTAGAAAGACATATTTGAATTTAATACTATCATCTATTTAGCATGGACCCCTATATACCCAGTTAAGCAACCAGAAAATCTGTAAAATTGTTGGAGGAACAAGGAATGGAAATGAAAAAACCTGAAAAGAAGAGTATAATGAGGGAAGGAAAGGGTGATCCAGAAATGAGATGATTTCCCTTTCAATGCATGCACGATGAACCTGTAAAGGGAACTAAGTCAGGCACCCACTCAAATGTGTACTTAAAATTTGGATCCGATCATTGGACACAAATGTTGTCTGTATTGAACAATATCCGTCACAAATGCAAATGCTTGTATGAACATTGAGATGCATGATGCATAATGTAAACAGAAGAGAAGCATAAGTTATTCAGAAAAGCATATAGCAATTCATAGGTCAAATAAAATCACATCAAATAGAAAATGCATTTTGAGCAGAACAATTTAGGCAATAAGCAGACCTTGTTCCGATTCAACATTACTGACTTCTCCATTGCCTTCATAGCAAATAATTCTCCTGTACCTTTCAGTTCCACCAGATGAACACTACAAGAAAAAGAACAATAATTTAGATATGGAAAAGGGGTAATAAACAACGGCATGGAAGCATCAGTTGGTTTCTCAGCAATATCACCGAGTTCAAACTTGCACTTGACTGACAATGGTGGTTATATTGACAGAAATCCAATGCGTTGGAACAATGAAGTTTAACAAAAGCATAAGGGCAGTACCTGCCAGTATCACCACAGCCTAAGGGTTTTATGGGCTTAAAATGATGTAGACCAATTTTTTCACCTCCAGAAGTGATCTACAAAAACACCCAAAAGGATAAATTAGTAAAGGAGAGGGAGATCAATGAAAGGCATGCATTATCGGAGCCTACTTCAGTTTCGAAAACTTACCTTCTGAATTGCTAGCCAAGAAGAACTATCTCTTTTGTGAGGCCGTGGGAAAACAGGCTCAGAATGGAGTGCCCACAAATCTTCTGGTCTCTGGATATTTTGGCAAATACAAATCATATCAGCTAAGACCACAAGGCTTCTAGAAATAGGCAACCATGATATACTTTTATTTCATAAAAATTAATAAATAAGTTTTTAGTATTTAATTTGTTCAGTTTATCAGCCAGGTACAGAGTTCTCAATGCAAATGAGAGAACAGATTTATTAGCTTTTACATCAATGATTAAGACATTCCTATTAATAATTCTAAGAGAAAGAAAGAATACCTTACCAAATTGGCATCAGGAAGTTCTCGAACAGCTTCATCGACATTTTCTGCTGTGGCTTTAACCTGATCAAAAAAAGATATCAAGACATCAAATGACCTGAAGTTAAAACATTGAAACTTTACTTGCATTTTTGGTCTGTATATAATTAGAAGAAGAGAATGATTACATACCAACTTAGCACTTTGTTGCTCTGTTTGCTCAGAGAGGCGGTTTCGTAGGGGTTCAACATGATCACTTCCATCAAGTTGAACACCAATGAAATATTGAAGCTCACCCTGAAAAAATGACAAACGAATTTATGAGAAGAGTTCAAAAGAGTATGTGCAGGATAATCACTTGAAATGTTAAACTGTTCCTGCATATGGTACTATAATCACCTTTTGGTCACGCATGGGTTGCAAGTGAAATAAATTCCAGAATTTCCTGCCTGCATGTCATAAAATTGTAACAATTCAGTCAAATAATGTTTCTGTCAGCATGCATGTTCCTTATTCTTTTTCTTTTCTTTCTGTTTTTTTTTTTTACGAACCGCTTTTTGTGTAGTTGATTAACTGAACGGTGACTTCCCTCTGTTCTTTAATAGCATCTCTTATCTTTGAGACAGTTCCGTGATCAGTTTCTGGTCCTTGAAGAAACCTGTGAAAAAATGTTGGTTTTATATGATTCATCTGACAAACGGATGGAAAACACCATTGGAAAGTTTATTGAGGTAGTTAGATATTGAAATTAAAGTAGTACAAATTACATACCTACAGTTCCTTCCCAAGATTTCCTCACGTGTATATTCCGTCAATTCAAGAAAGCTATCAGATGCAAATATCTGCATACATTCGAAAATTATACTGATTTTTCAGATACAATCCATGCTAGAAAGACCTGTGATCGCGAAATTCTTCCTAGATGAAAATAATACTGAAAATTCTTCCTTACAATGGGATTATCAGGGAGTCTAGGATCAGTGATCACAAAATTCTTTTCAATACGTTCCAATGTTGTTGCTAGATCCATCCCTTGGCGTATGTCCCTTTCTCTTTCAGCACGCTCTAAACTGTCAGTGCGTTCTATGTCTTTGGTCATTAACTCCTCTGGTTCAACAATTGGTTGTTTTTCTTGCTTGGCTGCAAAGCTGAAAGACCTGCCTTTAAACCTGGAGGAAGGTGTCATAATACTCATTTCGGAGTCACAATGGAGCTAATTGCTACCATAAGAAAAACAATTAGAGTGGCATAATGGTGATGGTGAAACTGCCTATTCCTTGGAAATGTACACTTAGTATCAGTCTAATGAGAGCAAAAGATGAAAACTTAAACCAAAAAGACTCACCCCATTAAAGAAATGCGTGCTGATTTTCGAGTTTTCTTGCCAATTTCCTGCGTAGGAGTAGCAGTACTGAAGTCTGACTGTGGACTATATCTTCCAGGGGAACTAATGTTCTCAATTTCAGCAGATTTAGGCAGAACATAATCAAGGTTGAATTTTTCCGGCTCTTCAAGCTTGTTAGTGGCATCAGTACTTATTGTCTGAATGTGAGATTGAGGATGTTTCAAAGTTTGGACAACCTCTGTGATGGAATCTAAAGCCTTAGATTTCTGACGATCTGTTCCAAAATGTAGGGTTATTACATATTAAAATTAAAGTCACACCATACAATACTCCAACAAATAAAATATAATTTACCATCATAACGAATTATGGACTGGGGCTGTC